GTGTGGCTGCCATGTTTTTCTTGTCACCGGGCGCGTGCCGATGGTTCTGTCTGTTGCTATCATGTTACGAAAGGTTTTCTACTAGATCTAGTAATAGAAGATCTTTGATGTTACGATATGCAATACGGACAACCAGGGGTCGAATCACGAAATGGGTATGATCTTGACCTTCGATGGAGTCCGGGGTTTTTGCGCATGTCCCCACCCCTTTGGCTCTGTCCTACCAGAAACCAGAAAAAGACGTTATATAAGAGGCTCGGCCTCTTTGATAAAACAACGGTGTTTACTCCGAGACCCACACTTACACACTCAAACACATATGCACACACACACACTCAGACACATACACACGCACACACATTCACACACAAACACACTGACATATAGATCTACTCTCTCTCTCTCTCTCTCTTTCTCTCCCTCTCTCTCTCTCTCTCTCTCTCTCTCTCTCTCTCTCTCTCACACACACACACACACACACACACACACACACACACACACATACACACACATACACACTCACAAACACACACACACACACAGGCCTGTATCGACATGTGCCCTGTCTGTTTGACTGTTGTTAGCGGTTTACCCGGTTTCGTCCCACATTTGCAACATAATGTATCCGATCACCCTTCGATACCTACAACAACGACCCCTCCTCTGTCTGTCTGTCTGTCTGTCTCTCTCTCTCTCCATCTCTTTCTCTCTCCATCTCTCTCTCTCTCTCTAGTGTGCGAGTGTGGTGATATTCTGGGACGTACCATACTTTATCCCTGCTGTTTGCTGGAATTTTCAGCCTATCAACTCATGAGAGAGCGACAGACTGCCTGTAAACAATGTGCAAAGTTTTGCCTTGGGTTTATAACAGATTTTTAACAAGTTTTAGTACAAGAATTTTTATCGAAACTGATAATCAGAGACATTTGCAGGGCAAATTTTAAAGCAAATTTTCATCTACCACCAAATCCTACCTCCACCTCCCTGTTGATGTTGATTATAAACAATGGGTTTTTTTCGCGCATCGTAAGATCAGAGAGCCTAGAATTACGCTAGTACGCAGACTCTCTGGCAAAATCCTTTAGGAATCGGGGAGGCAATAACCTTCAAGTAATCCAATCTATAATATGGGACGAAAACGGGTACGACGAAATTCAAATATGAAAAGTGTGGGTCGAAAACGGGCTCTGCTGTTGTCTGTTACACTTTATGAACTTGGCACCGGTTCCAAGTACGCACAAGGCCTTTGGACGTGCGTTTATCACGTATTTGGCTCGTCGCCTCTTAACCCCCCTTCCCCCAATACCACCCCAGTTCCTATTAATAGCACATAAAATACACTATTAATAACCACTATGAAAGGCCGGCTCTTCACACCCTCTGCCAATATGTATTAGCTATTTAGCTCCACAATATCACAATGCATTATTCTCTCTCTCTCTCTCTCTCTCTCTCTCTCTCTCACTCTCTCTCTCTCTCTCTCGTTCTCTCTCTCAATCTTTGTCTTTTTGGCCATTGTAATGATTAATCTCAATTTTTAGCAAGGCAGCCATAATTTCTATTAAGTGTTCATAAGACTTCCAAGTTTGTGTCGAGAGACCATGGTGCATGCTCCTGCTAAATGTTCCTGACCTCTCCTTTTCTTTTTTTTCGAGCTTCATCGGAAGCAGGCTTACATAGAACTATATGGCAATTTGCTTGTGAGAGTTGCATGGTCGTTACCTTTTCAATAGCATCATAACTTGGGAGTTCATCGTGAAAACTGTACTTTTCAGTGAAATCATGTACAGTGTTGGCCAATATCACATACAGTGTCTGGAGAAATTTTTCAATCAACTGCCACTTCTGCTGAACAGAATTACTTGAGTGCTGTGCCTTGTTTGAAATAGTGATTGGCGAACCTGCAACAAAATCTTTTTAGAAAACAAAGTGACAGAATTTGAAAAGGATCTTTTTGTTGTTGTTGTTGTTGTCAGAAGTACAAAGATTTTTGACAAAGTTCTGCAAATTTAGTGAAGAGACTACCTAGAAGTATTTTACTGAGATATTTATCAATACCTTTTCTCCTATTTGCTGGCCAGTGGCTATTGTTGCTTCTTGGCTGTATTTTTCTTTCTTTTTTTTAATTCTTAGTTTTCCTCACTCTATGTGTAGCATAATTTTTTTGATTGACTGTTCAAACCTGTGTTTTTGCATGGTATTTTCCATTTTCATGTGTTGACGACGTTTGAATTTTTAAATTTAAATTTTTAATTTTTTTTTTAGGACGCGGGGGTATATTAAGTTTAAAAAATCAGCTCTGATTTCATTCCATCACCAAAATATGTTGCAATTCAAATTAAGCTCGTACTGTGCCTGTGGCATGCTCAGAGCTTTTGTTCTTCTTCTCTTTTGTTTGAAGAGACCTGTATAATGGTGAAATGTGTGTTATTTCAAACATTCTCAAAGTGAACCGGAACCACTATCCACTATAGCCTCTTCTTCTCTTCAGAAAAAATTAAAACCTCACAGAGAATTGAGGAGACAGCCAACTTCGCTGAACAGCTCAAGAAAAGCATGAACAAGCGCAATGACATTGATTGGACCAAGTTCAAGGACATTCCAAGTGTCACCGGCCACTTCCTGATAATGGCCCTGTATGGGATTAGCTGTCGGTTTGCCTCATCCAATCTCCTGGCCACTTTGGCTCTGTCGTTGCTTATGATTATTCATGTCATCTGGTTTGCAACGAATTCACGCTGACGTGTCTGTTTTGAACAGAATGAAAGAAGTGATCTCGGCTTATGAAGATTGAAATATTTTGGCATACTGTGTAGTGTGCTCAGATAAACATACAGAATTTGGGAATTGAACTTTGGTAGTATAGGCCCACCAACCATTCTTACTATTTCTACACTGCTACAACAATGAATGCATAATTTAGTACATTTAGTTTAAATGAGAAATGGTTACAATAAAATATTTTGGAATAACTTTCCATCTTTCGCTTGTGTTTAAGATGGATGCAAACAACGCTTTTGGAGCCCAACGTATTTTGTATCATTTCATTGTACTTTTCCTGTGTGCAAGTCTGTCACTGGTACAAGCCAAAGTTTTTTCCCAGCGTTTGGCAAAAAGTGTGAACAAAACCAATAGACTGGACTTTTATTTCTTTTAGAAATTGGGATTGCTACTCAGAGTTAAATCTGCTCTGTCAGGGTTGTTTTTTTTTCCAAATGAGCTCCTCTGGACATGCCATACTATCAGAGCAAAACGTTCAGAAAACCACCATTTTATATCTGTAAAGTTTATGCAGCTACAGATTTTTAGGCAAAATTGTAAAATTATGCGTATATATATTTGGCTGTAATTTTCACACCTTTTATTCTTTTGCAGCAGTTTGTTCATTACACTAGAATTACAATTGTGTGTATAAATCAGTATCGGCATAGTGATCTGGTTTGTTGTGCCTGTCATGAATTTCTTTGTGTACACTGTTTTGTATAAACCGAGTCTGTGAGTGTAAGAGTAAGAGCTTAATGCTGACTCTGACAGCTCAAATTCCATTAGATGGATGTGTATTAGCTGCATTTCCATCAACGTCCCCTATTTGTGGTCATTTATCAAGTGTGGTACATGTTTGAAAAGTTCTAAAAAGAAGTTACATTTTTGCCATGTACACAGTTAACATACTTTTATAGCTGCCAATTTCCCAGCGTGTGCTGATTCTAGATCTCCCATTTTTGGAGAATTATATTGTGGTTGGTTTTGAGTACCATAGTGTATATACCTAAAACTGAGAGGAATGATAACCATATGTACTAATACCAGTTGCTTTTTTTCTGACTTGCATAAAAACGTTCTAGAGAAGTTATATGTTGTCTTGTGAGCAATAAACATACTTTATGAACATTATGGCTGCCAATTTCCCAGCATGTGCTGGTTCAAGGTCTCCCATCTGTGAAGGATTGTAGTCAGTTTTGAGTCATGTACTAAGTAGATCTACTGCCAATTTCCCAGCATATGATGGTTTTAGATCTCCCATATTTATGTTGGTTTTGAGTAATGTAGTTTATTTATACCAAAACCCGAGAGGAATAATAACCATATACATGTGCTAATGCCTGTTGTTCCTGACTAGTAGTGGTAGGATTTTTTGTACCGTATTGAAACTTTCCATTTTCCAAAGTCTCCGAACCTACACATGTACAATCGGCTTTTTGTGCATGTTGGTTCTGAGTCCAAGGGATCTTCCTGCAGCAAAATGCTGTTTCTACAGTTTTAGTTTGTCTCCATTTGCAGAACATGAATGGTTGGCTTCAACTTTTTGTCCTTCTGTTACCAACCCATGGTTTTAAAAAAATGGAAATTAACGAAAGAAAGTACGTATGTGTGTGAGTTGAGGAAGAGGAATGCCTTTTTTTTTTGGTTATATAAATGTGAACAGGCTGATAAAGGATTGTACTGTGTTTTTTCTCTTTATATATATATATATATATATACCATGTTTTCAGCTGATTTAGTTGTCCATTGGGACAAAAAGAACCTTTTTTTTTATATGTTTGTGAAAGGGACTTATGGTACAGTACTTTTGAAGGGTGTTGGCACCATTTCCTGCTGTGTGCAGTAGTTGCCCTGTAATTGCTCAGTTTCCATAGAAAGATAACAGTTAACATGTTCCCTGTTTTTCTGTTTTAGTGGCTACAAAGCCAGTGACAGAATCATGATACCACTTGTAATACCTTTTAATTGTTTTACTAATGAACTTTTGATTTTTTAATTAACTTTTTTTTACTTGGTGTATGTGTGTGTGGTGAATTATTGAGTAGTGCAATAAATATACCCTTTTTATATGACTTTATCTATGTGCATAAACCAATAGGTCCTGATGTAAATGTACAACAGCCTCAGATGATTTTTGTCTTTAGACGAAACACTGAATCATGGATAGAAGTCTCCACCAACCCCTGTTCTGTTCGTCTCAGGGAAAAGTGTTTGTGTTCACCTCGTGTTCCTGACACCGACATTCTGGTCTGTGGGATGGGTCAGTCACTCCTCTGTTTCAGTCCTTTCGGAGGTGGACGTTAAACTTGGAGGTCCCGTCCCGCCTCTTAAATAACCTACTAGTGTTGAAAGGGCCGTTAAACCCATACCGTTTCTTTTTTTACTCCTCTGTTGTGTAATTAAGATGCGATTCAAAAATGTCCTTAGCATCATCGGAAGCACAATCAATTTTTTTTAAAGTACATTGGATGCTATTTTTAAGGAATGAAGTGTCTTGTGTGCAAAGAGTAGGAGTAAAAGTTTCTTATGGATGCCTCTATTTCAACTACTCAGTGTAACGCAAGACTCAGTCATATAACTTTTCAAAATTGCATATATAGCAGAGTCCTACACCAAGCAGTTGATTTGAGGAATGAAACAAATAGTGAGGCAGCGTGGTGAAATCAGGCGCTCGTCAATTTTTGGGAATGTGGAGTTATTGGTACCATCTTAAATTTATTCTATTGTCTTGCTTCAGACGGAAAAAAAATCCAGCTGTCTTTAATAGAAGTCGAGATAGAATCTATATATGCGAGTGAAGAATGTGGGAGGCGTCTGATTTCAGAGGTAGAATTAGCGAGAAAATGGCTGTCAACGTTAGGTAACTTTCTTAGTTTGAGAGACCTTGGAAACCAAAAGCTTACATTTTTTATGCCTTTAATCAATGTATTTCAGTAAAATCCACACAGAAATATGTTTTTAAATAAATACAAAAGGTGTTAAACCATAAGAACAAAAATTGTATAAAAATGCCGTTATCTTTGATTACATATTTTGACGAGTGCCTGATTTCACCACGATGCCTCACAAATGTCCTCACCAGCTGTCGTAGGGACGTTGAAATGGAAGCTGAAAGATAACAGATGACGGTGATTTAGGTAGCAGTGCACTAGTTGTACTATTTTTGCTTACAACAGAACAAGGACTTTTTGTGCCTCTGTCATTCTGTTGGCTCATAAGCTTTGTCTGAATTTGTAGATTTTTGCTATCATGTGTGCATGTCGCAGTTGACTCCCAGAGACTCCCCCCTCCCCCGTCTGCCCTAGCAATAATGATGAGTGATACCATTTTTTAGATATACACCATACACTTTATTTATATATACTGCAACGTGTTTGAGTGTGTGTCCACTTACTTATGTACTGTTTGTGTCCTTGAATGGGCTGTCCGCATATTTATTTGGTGTAAAATAGCATTTAAATTGTATATATATAGTGGCCTACCCTATGTTTTGCCTTTGATGGAGTGGGTTTTTTTAAAAACCTTTGTGTGTTAAAGTACAGTGTAGAAGTGCTGCTCCTTTTCTATGTGTGCGATTTGAAATTGGTTTTGTTTTGAAGTTGTTGGTTTGTTTGTTTCGTTGTTTGTTTGGGGGGGGGGGGGGGATGGGTCATTTTACACCAGGTTATGGGGATTTTGAAGGTACTTATTTCCATGACTTGATTTGCCACATGTTGTGTGCTCCAGCTCAATGATAATGCAGATACTGTGGTAAATGGTAGTGGTGTTTATATGCCCAGATAGATATTTGCGTACAGTGAGGAAGTTTCAGGTCTATTTTATTTATTACAGTGTTGAAAATTTGTAGCATTTATTATGACTTTAAGAAATTGTTAATCCTTCCGTCGTCATAGGGTAATAGCCATTTTTACCCTGGAGCATTAAATTGTATTATGGTGGGGGGTGAAGGCCCACAGTGTTGGAGGCCTTTGAGACTCACTATGAGGTTTTTTTCTCTGGGTGCATGCATATACATTTGAAGCCACCATTTCTTGCAGTGGCTTATTTGGGGGAGGGGATGTCTGTTTTAGATTTGAAGAAAACATAAACTTTCCAAGTCTGGAAACCTCATAATAAACTGTCTGTCTGCTTTTACACAGAGAGAGAGAGATATTAATTCTTTTTCGTATACATGCTAATGTTGAATCCAGAATGCAAAACATTTCCATAACACTTTAGAAGCAGGTCATGACTGAAAGTTAGTGCCACTCCAGGCCCAGGGTGTTAGGGTTTTGCAACAAGCTGCTGATTTGTTTGTTTGAGTAAAGAGAAGCACGTAGACACAATAATGGTCATTTAGTGCTGGAAAAAACAGACAGACAGACAGAAACAACTGAGGGGAAAATGAAGAAGTAGGACCTAACAATGGCGCTTTCCAACCACAACAAGCTTTTGAGTTGATTTAGTTTCAAGAAGAACATTTTGATGTGATAGTTGTCCTTGTGGTTTCTTTTCCCCACATTAATGCTTTTTATATACTCATTTTACATGGATTTGAGTATTACTATTAGTATTAATGTAATTTATCTTTTACATGCAAATACAAGTTATTTGTTTTAATTACTCTGCTATTTGTCTTATTTGACTGGCAAATGTTCCTTCACAATGAGTTTATTCCCTGTCACTTCATGTGCACAATGACTATGTACCTATGTATAAACTATTGGTTTTGAAATCAGTTTGTTGTTTGCCATGTTGTTGTTTTGTTTGTCATGTTTTTGTTTTGTTTGTTTTTTTTGTGCGTCCTCACTTTGGTCAGCACAACAGGGGCTTTGATTTGGTTATCTTTTCTTTTTTTCCTCTGCAAAGCTGTTCAATAAGTTACTGATGATCATCTACTCATGCTGTTTCTGTGTGAAGTGGTGCTGTTTTATGATAGGAGCTTTTTTTTTTTTTTTTTTGGTTTTTTTTTGTTGTTGTTGATTGGTTTTGTTTTAATATTTATAGTTTTTTTCCTTGGAATATTTCTTTTGCCATTTGATGTTAATGCCTCGCTCTATTATATTATTTGCAGAAGATGGAGATGACAGTCTTGGTGAGGAAGAAGAAACAGATGAGGATAAGAATGAGGAAACTGTTAAAGAAGAGTTGTAGCAAGAATTACATGTATTATCAACCGAGTCAAGAGATGCCTTGATGTTACCTTTCTTTAATTTATTAACCATAGAAATGGAAATGTCACCCCTCCTCCTTCTAGCTATTGACGGAGGTGAATTGCATATTTAAAGGATGTGAGTGGGGGGGAAAATAAATAGCTATTGACAGGTGAATTGCATAAAGAATGTGAGTGGGAAAAAAATAAATGGCTTTTGACAGAGATGAATTATATAAAGAATGTGAGTGGGAAAAAATAAATGAAAAATGGCTATTGACAGGGGTGAATTGCGTATTTAAAGGATGTGAGTGGGGGAAGATAAATGAAAAATGGCTATTGACAGAGGTGAAGTGCATAAAGAATTATTAAGAATGTGAGTGGGAAAAATAAGTAGCTATTGACTGGTGAATTGTATAAAGGATGTGAGTGGGGGGAAAAATAGACTCCTGAGTACATTGCATGTGTTTGATCCGTTGCTGAAGTGTATTTGAATTGTTGAATTTTGGAGCGGCAAATGGGTTTTCATTTGCTGGTTTTATTTTGTTATGTGCCGTGAGTTGAGCCAGTCAGTCTGAAAGAAAGCGTTTGTTTCTGTTGTTTGTTCTGCGGTGTTTGTGGATCTGTCAAAGGAGGGCTATGAAATGAAAGAAATATGACATGTAATATGTAAGGAGAGTTGGAAGGAAGGAAGAATGTGAAAAAAAAGTAAGCATAAAAGGAAGGTGGTAGACGAGTGTTGCAAGGGGCAGTGCTATTAATATTATTATAGTTATGTTTTTGTTTTGATGATCATGTATAAAAGAATACATGTGTATGATACACTGTGTTCTTGTATTTCACTGTACTTGTGTTTCAAAGTATTGATGGCGAGCATGTTTCCCATCCCCTCGGGCTTGGTACCACAGTGGAACTCGGATTCAACGAGGTCGTCGGGCCTGACCTAAAATCTCGTT